AATGGATTGAGGGGGGTGGATGGGTTCAAGGTTGAGGAGCTGGTTGGTGAGCTAAGCAAAGAGGGGCAAGCGGGGGTACCAAAGGAGGAGTAAAAGGCGAAGCAAGATCCAAAGAGCAAGTGTAAAGACATAACTAGAAGAATAGTTAGCGTTAGAAAGCTGTTTTGTAGTGTGTGAAAGGGTGTGCAATGAAATGAAATACATACCACAAATTCCCCTTTCCAAAAACTTGCCTTGCCCAGAGCCATCAGAATGAGACCATTATTTTCAGCTTTCCAAGAACAAAAAGAAATGGAGCAGAGGAGGCTGGGTCTGATAGTGAACAAAAGGGCAAAGAAGAAACGGAAAGGCGACAAAAGTTCTGGAGAGGAGCAAATTACAGAAGAGTTTAACTTGGAATATGAAGACGGGACAGAGTTGGCGGGGGAAGAGATAACGGAAGAAAAAGAAACAAGGACAAGAGCTCATGATTACCCAATAATACAAGAGTGGCCGGATAAATTTGAGTGTGAAATGGATATAGAAAGGTGGAAAGAAGAGCTAGAAGCGCTTGTCCTGATGTAAGAGCATAGACATGCACTGCCAACATTTTTATCTCGGATCTCACAATCCGAGGTATTCTCGGGTCTATGCCCTCGGACAGCTCTTGTCTGAGGATTTGATCCGAGCCAATTCACGACGCATAAGATTGCCTCGGATTGAAACCTCGGACAGGATTTATCCGAGGATATGCATCCAATGATGCCTCGGATTTCTCAACCCGAGGCAAGTATGTTGGCAGTGATGTTATCAAAGGATTTCAAGAGGGATTCACACAAGGCATACCTGAACACAGATTAGAAGGGATGAAGTTTTACTCACCACCTAACCATGAGACATCAAATGAAAGCAGAGACAAAATAAAAGAAAAACTGAAGAAAGAATTACTTTCTGGGAGGATGCAAGGACCTTTCACAGAAGACAAGGTTTTGGAACGGGTTGGCTTCTTCAGGACAAGTCCAATGGGGATGGTAACAAATGGTGATGGAACGACACGGATAATCAATGACCTGTCATATCCAAAGCGGAGTATAGAAGTGATGTCAGTAAATTCTATGGTAGACAAACATGAGTTTGAAACTATTTGGGACAATTTTAAGAGGGTAGCAGAATTCTTTAGCAAACTTATGGGTAGAATTAGGGATCTTTGACTGGGAGAAGACCTATAGGCAGATCCCAAAAAAGCCAAACCAATGGAGATACCTGATGATAAGAACAGCAGATGGATGGATTCCGATAGACTCAAGAGTAACATTTGGTGGAGTTGCTGGATGTGACCACTTTGGAGGCCCGGCGGATGCTTGGAGAGAAATTATGAGGATAAGGTTGGGATTCCTGGAAGTCTTTTGGTGGGTAGACAATAATCTATTTGTGAGACTGAAACAAGAGCAAACAAAGATATTGATGGAGGAGGTAGTTGAAGGAAGCGCAAGACTAGGTGTAAAATTTTGTCTGGAATGGACGAGAGAGATCAGTAAGCTTGCCAGAGTCAAAGAAGATAGAACATTTAGCTCAGATAAGAGAAACACTAGAGAAAACCGGACCACATACCTTCAAACAAATTGAGAAGTTGACAGGAAGACTAGTGCATGTAATGTACATGCTACCACACATGAGATGTTTCTGCATGAGCTTACATAGTTTGAAGGCGTCCTGGAAGAATAAACTGGCAATAAGGAGGCTGACGGAGACGGTGAGAACAGACTTGTTGGAGTGGGAAGAAGTCCTAACAAATTTTGAGAACCACAAGTTGATACCAAAGAAGGGAGTGGAGAATGTAGGATGGGTCCGAGATGCCTCAACAGGGTACGGAATAGGGGTAATAGTATGTAAATACTGGACGCAGCTGAAGCTCAAAGAAGGGTGTAACAAGAAAGATGAGAAAGGTTTGAAGCATGGGATAGTGTGGGGTCGCGATACAAGTAGGCTTAGAGATGGTACATCTACTGCACAAGACAAAAGGGAGAAGGTTCCTAGCAATTACCAAAAATACAGGGACTAAAGCTGTGATTAGGAATCAGAAATCAAGAGATTGGTTAGTGAACGAAGAATGGAAAAAGTTGTACAAATGTTTGACTTACTTAGGCTGAGAGCTAGAAGAGAAACATGTTGCGTCAGGCAATAATAATGCAGATGCACTATCAAGAGGGAAGAGAGGAAAGAAACCGATTCACTTTTACATGCAGCCTGACCTACCAAGAGAGCTAATACAATTCCTAAAATATGAAGCAAAGAGCAAAGCCAAACTCAGGAAAGAAAGTAAAAATCAGTTTTGACCAATTGATAAAGATAGAACAGAAGAGCAGAAAGAGAAACTGACAGAGCACTTGGTGAAAGGAGCTTGGACACCAGGAACCCTGAAGGTGTACAGCAGGTGTAAGGAGTGGTTATGGATATAGATTACAGGTTGGAGTTAATTATGGGTATAAACATGGATTAGTAGATGATAGTTACATACTTGTTTAGATTTCATTTATCTATTTCTCTTTTTCTTTTCTTTGAGGATTTCTCTTTACCTCCTTTTCTCTTACTTAGAAGCTCTAGACTGATAGACTCGTGATAACAGTTTGCTAGAAATACAATTGGGTGCTAGTTCTGTTTGGTTTTGGCCTTTCAGTCTGAGCTTCAGTGAAGGTTGAGTTTCGTCGACCTTACAGCAGCACAGTACAAAAACTTAAGAGTCACATAGAGAGCACGGGGAGAGAATTCAAGAGTGATGAACCAATGGTGACAGAAGATGTTTATGGGTTTATTGTGTGGGCAGGCCCGTCAGAGGTGGGAAAGAAAGCTGCACCAGGAAGGGAATTGGAACCAAAAACGATATCAAAACATCTAGCAGGACTGAAAGCTTGGCATATGGCAAAACACCATGAGGAACCAAAACTAGACAAACAGATGGTGGACTGGTTAATAAAATCAATGGAAAGGTCAGAGGAAAAGAAAGAACTTACGAAGGAGGGGAAATCCAGTAGGGAAAAGAAGCCAATGAGTGTGAAGGACCTTTTTGAGATGGGAACGGAGCTGAATGAGAAGTCACCTCAACACAAATTGGCAATGGTGATAGGTCTTGTAGCCTTTTGGGGGATGGCGAGACTAGGGCAACTTTTGAGGGATAAGGTAGAAGAAGGTGCGATTAAGGTGGAAGATCATAACATTTAATCGTAAACCGGGTTCGCTTACAAAACTCGACAAAATCCACCATTAGTGTGATTTTTGAGTTTTGTCCATGGTCAGAAACCTTTCACTGCAAATCAATCTGCACCCACTGGAAATCAGTCATGAATATCATGTACATACATGCCGTATTGCTTTGCTCATATCAAAACGGATCTGAAACAATCATGAAATCCATTGTGAACTGCACTCAATCTCACAGTGCCTAACAGAGCCATCTTTTTTGGCTCCACTCACATCAACAACATATTTCAGAACTGAGTGTTAGCTCTAATACCACACGGTTTATCAAGATTTGACTTTTTAGTGTTGATTCAGGAATCTTCAACCAATTTCAGCCTCTCGTTACCATCAATCAGAAAATTGAAAAATATTCTCATTTTCAAATTAAGTACCCGAGTCCCGACGTGTTGTTTTAGGTTGTTTTTTGTTGAACCTTGGATCATCCTCATGCATCACAGCATCTCGTGGATGCATCACCATTCATCATTCATACAATTCAATTCAATTCAAAAATTGGAGGCCACCAAACAATTCATTTCCAGCATTGACCATGTGGTATGTTCTTTTCTAACTGTTTTTTGTATCTTGATTTTGTTAAAACAGATAAACATTAGATAATCTGATACTCTGTTTATCTGTCTGTTTTCAAGCCTATTGAAAATGGCCTAATGTCACCCAATTACCATCCATCAAATAAACTCAACTCAAGTTCTCTCATTGCCAATCCTCTTCAAACTAACTTCAAACTAAACTCATCAACATCCGGCATCAATTCTACATAGGAACTTCAATTTATCAACATTTCAAGCCAATTGAAAACTACTAGATCCAATCAGAATGTCAAATTGACTATGTACCTTATCACAAGCCAATTGCACTCCAACAAATGATATCATCATTATACCATCATCAAAGGAAATCAAAAGATCGCTGTTTCCAGGTGGTGAGTTTTTGTATTCATTATAAGACTCTTTGGTCAATATTGAATTGTTTTGGTCTAAGGACTTTCTTATTTTTTGCAGTGACCTACACAAGGTGTAAATTCAAACAATGTGTAAGAGAAAACATACAAATCATGAACACAAGTAGTCTATGATCTTCAATTTCAAGCAAAGAAGGGCATTTTTAATGGGTGTGTCATCATTTTTTCAGGCTGCCTATAAATTTCTGTGGACAATTCTGAACAAATCATTTCCAAAGCACATTGATTTCATTCACGGCAAATGAAATGAGATCATAAAGGTGAAGTCGTTTTATTCCTGCCAAGAAAGAAGATAACATCTGAAGGGATCCACTCTTAACTTTCTCAATAATTTGGTCAAAACAGTTCGGCAAATTTGATCAGTCGCTGGAGCAAATAATTGACACAAACCTACCCAGGCTCTACTAAACTAAACCAATCCATCAGACGATCAATTTTGATCATACTAGCTTTCAATTCAAACTTATCATCAGCTTTCCTATCTCAATCATGAACCCAGAGTGTAAGTCAATTGATTCATATACCAATCAATCTCATGCAGTTTGACTTATCAAAATTATCATTCATTCTACCTTATATATTTGATTTCTTTCAAAGACGATTTCTTGGTATGATACAATTCCCTTGATGTTCAAGCCTTTTCAACTTCGAATTACTAATGATCAAAAGACCTCAATCAATCACTCTCATCTTACCATTGAACCTCTTATCGATCAATCTTTGAATCAGCTTTTGGTTCAGTGAGTCTTCATCAGAATTGATTCAACTCTTTTACAATTGATTCGTGTTCATCTTCACTGACATGGTTTTAAACTTCTTTTTAAAACTTTTGTTAATTGGTGACTCTGGAGTTGGAAAATCCTGTCTTCTCTTGAAATTCGCTGGTAAGATATCTTCATTTTCATTCAGATACTCACATATGTAGGGGTTTAAAATCATGAATTCTTCTCTGATTTGATCTAGATGATACATACACTGAAAGCTACATCTCTACATTTGTAAGTGATCATTTCTTTTCTGTGTCAGATTTGTGTCATTTAATCGGTTTGATTTCAATCTGTGTTCAATAGGAGTCAATTTTAAGATCTGTGCAATCAAACTACAAGGCAAGGTCATCAAACTACAAATCGTAAGCAGATCCTGTTTCTCAACTGTTTATGATTTACATCAGACAATTGATATCTCATCTTTAATTCCTGATTGGAATCAATCCTGATCCATTCAAGACATCTATTAAATCAGTGGGATATTGCAGGTCAAGAACAATCTATGAAATGATTTCAGTTAGAGATCACATGATCACATGATCATCTTGGTCATTCCACAATCTTCAGGTTTAGCATACAATACTTGACACTCAATAATGGGACATTATTTAACAGCAAGTTCTGACAGAGTTGATCCGATTGAGGTCTTCTTTGATCCTATGACCAATTCAAATCTTGATGTTACAAATTTCTTACCTCAGGCTGACGTCACAATCATTTAGTGATTTTCAAAGATGTAAGTAAAAATTGATGCCTTGACTTAAATATTGCCATGTTCAATTCAAATCAACTCCATAGATCCAGAGAACATTCATTTGTGGTTCCATCAAAGCCAGATATGATTTTGAATGACTTTCACATTGATTAAACACTTGAATAAATCAGATACCAATATCTACTGGTGAGTGAAACTTGATTATTGACTCTCTAAAATCTATCAATAGGACAAGTAGTTATGAAATATTTCAGATAGAATCACAATTGCAAAGAAAAAATATATCAATGAAGGGAAAATTTTCAACTGGAAACAGAAATTTGAGATCTAAAAACATGGCAAGTATTCTCAAAGATGGTGAAGGGTTTATTTCACCAATGATAAGTGAGTAAAAAAGTAGCAGAAGACACTGCCAGCATAGATGCTTCGGGTTGAGAAATCCGAGGCATCATTGGAGGCAAATCCTCAGACAAACCTTGTCCGAGGTATTTGCCCAAGGTATTTTTTTGCCCTGAGAATTACCTCGGATCAAAACCTTGGGAAGCTTCTGTCCGAGGTTTTGCATCCAAGGATACCTCGGATTTTGTAATCCGAGGTAAATATGTTGGTGGTGAGAGATGATGAATTGGAGCATTTGAACTTATGTAGGAGTACCGGGAATCCCTGAAACTAATTTCCAAATCAGATCAAGAAGGGGATGATTAGGACACAAGGACTGAAGCATCTGGACAACTCTTTCAGTGACAATGATGGACCTCACATCAAAGTCACTGTTGTACTTATGACTAGACAGGAAGTACTGTTCTTATCCCATGAAGTTTGAGTCATAAGAGTAATGTGCAGGTGAAGGAATTAAACTTAGGGTAGTATTGTCAGATATTTCTAACAGAAGGAGATGCTCATAACAGATTTGCCATTACTCCAAAACTTAGGTCCACATGCCAAGAAGTCTCTAGAATTCAGCCTTGAGAAGGATACATTGACAGTCTCAACAAATTCTCCTTTGGGCTAACATCAATGAATTGAGTGTTTGCAGATTGAGCATAGCGTGCATCAATGGAAGTCAATATTTTGAGAGCGGCGCCCGCCGCACATATGATAGTCTTAGTTTTGAAAGAGGGAAAAGTGGAAGAGTAGCAGTGATAAAGTTGATGAAGGCAAAGACGGCAAAGACGGCAAAGACGGCAAGGCCGGGAGAAGCTCAGTACATAAGGTAAGTAGATAGAAGAAGAGGAACTGACTTATGAAAAAGATGAACAGGATGCACAAACAGTACTCAGTCCTAGACCCGGTATTGGCCTTGGTAAGGTTCTTGGCGCAAGAACACCCCACAAGAAGGAAGATGGATATTTTATTCTCTAATCTGGTAGAAGGTGAGAGAGTAACAATATCAAAGGCAAGTTTCATAAGGATGACGGAATCTGTATGGGGATCAAGCAGTGTGAAGAGTGGTAGATGGTCCGGACACTCATTCAGAGTGGGAGGGGCATCTTTAAGGTTCAATATGGGATGGGACAAAGAGAGGATTATGGAAGCGGGAAGGTGGAAGTCAGAGGCAGTAGATTGCTATTTGAAAAAATGCTCAGAAGAGGAAAGAGGAAAGGGAATGGCAAGAGAGAGGTTCCCGGAAATTGAGGAAAGAACAAAGTAAACAATAAGATGAGCAAACTTTATTTCTGGTTACTCTATTATGCATAATCATTAAGTGACTTAAATACATGAACCGAGAAGCAAGATGTATAGTAAGCAATTCACAGAATATTACAACTAGCAGAGCCAAACTATACATCCTGGGAGCTCGTGCAAGTTGTGGGTTCCTCAACAAGTTGAGACTCTCACAAGCCCCACCTGAATAGGAGGTGTGAGGAACCCACAAGGATCAACAAAAATCACAAGAGTGATCAGCATGGCTTCAGCGGGAAATTAAACTGTGACACAAATGAGAGCCAATCCCCTGCCTGGGCTCCCCCAAACGCTGTTTGACCTCAGCCATGATAATAGGCCAAGGTCAGACCAACAAACAAAGAACGAGATCTGTATCAATAAATAGTATCTATGTAAGAAACAAGTACTTCCAATTAATAATATACATAATAATTTATGAACTTACAAATGCCTTACCTAACATGTAAGGAACTCAAAGAATGGATTTGCTAAAGTGAAAAAGTTTGATAAAAAGATGGCATTTGTATCACAAAGAAAAGACAGAGACCATATACTTTAAGAATCTCCTGGTGAAAAGTTGTTTAACACAGATGTCAAAGGTTATAATAGTGGGATTTCAAAATCTCCTGGAGTGTTATCAAAAGAGCTTTTACAAGGAAATTTAATTGATCTTCGTTGTATTAAAGGTGAATTACTTAACATTAGAAGAGATGATGCTGCTGCTTTTGCTTTTGCGGTTGAAGGAAAAGAGCAAAAATTGGAGGTTTCTGCAAAATCTTATTCTCAAAATATCCACAGTCATGCGGAATGGCTTTATTATTTCAAAATCTTCAAAAACACAATCAAAGAAGCTTTTCCAGATTGTATCAATCTCATTAAGGCTTATTCTAAATACATCAAAAATCAATTATGGTCTCACGGTATTGAATCACATTGGAAAAACATTGTGGCTTACAATACAGCGTTTAGGGAGCAGGTGGCCAAGAGGAAGGGTATTAGCTTCACTGACTGGAATCATCCTGATGTACAGTCTCTCAATAGCAGATTCATTTCAAACGCTTTGTACCAGCATGCTCACTCTTCATCTCCTGTTTATGCAAAAACAGTTTTTCCAGTTCCAACAAGACAAAGAACCTCAAATCAACAAAATTACCAGCAAAATTTTGGAGCAGGTCCTTCAAGGTATAGGGATCAAAGAAGAGACCCTATGGACCCTCCTTATCAATTGAGCTTCAAACACAAGGATCTATATGAAATTGAGGAGGCAAAAGGACTTTGAGTCAAGGAACAATTTTGTTTTTTGTGGAATTTGAGGAAAGAATGTAAGGCAGGAGCTTCATGTCCTCGGATCCATAAATGTGTTGGTCCTTTTTTTTATTCTTAAATCATTTTTGTCGTGTGTTATAACAGTCGATTCATCAGTTAGCCAGTATTGGTTTGGCGTTTGTTCATAGCCTGAGGCTGATTTTTGAGTTATCTCTCTAGAATGTTTGCAAATGTTGTGTTGCGCACAGAGGATGTGACCACCCCTGAAGAATACACATCAGCAAAATTTCTTTGGGGATACCAATGGGATGGGATTTCAGTGACGGGGTTCTCATCAGCAATTGAATCAATTCAATTTGCAAGGCCCTTTCCTGACGCACCTTCTTTGGAAGTGGATATCAATGCAAAATTTATCACAAAACAATATCTTACTTTGTTTAACATCAGCAATCCCTTCAACGTGGATAAAATGGAAGAACTTTTGAGACACCATCCTAATCAAAAATTTGTTAGTTCTGCTATGAAAGGTTTAAGGATAGGCTTTTGGCCATCATTGTTTTTACCATCATCCAAAATTATCAATACGCCAAATCATCAAACCTGCATCAAAAATCAATCTCTGCTTGAAGAACAATTTGAAGAAGAAATTCAGAAGGGTAGATATTCTGAAGAGTTTTCAATTTTGTTACCCGGCATGAAAGTAATACCGCTGTTGATGACATCTAAGAAAGATCTGAAAAAGATGAGGGTCTGCTCCAACATGAGCTTTGGTCAACCTTCACCTAATGTTTTAGTAGACCAAAACAACATAGCAGTGTCTTATGATTCATTAAAATCTTTCACACCTTATCTGATTGAAATGAAAAAAGAGAAAGGTGATGTAGCAATATTCAAATCTGATGTAGAAGGTGCTTTCAGAACAAACCCACTTCATTATCAATATCAAATACAACAAATAATCAGGATTAAGAAAAAGTATGGAGTGGACCATAATTTAACATTTGGTTCATCTGCTAGTCCACACATCTGGGGTGGTGTTTTTTCATTAGTTTTGTGGATTGCTGAACAAGTGTTTCACATTAAGAATCTCAGTTGCACGATGGATGATGTATGGGGAGTTGCTTCTGCAAACAACTTTGTGGTTTTTAAGGACCATTGAATTACATTGGTTCAGGCAAAACTTTTAATGATTTTTGACATCTTAGGAGTGCCTTGGAGATGGAAGAAACGGATACATGGTCCTGTCCTGGAAGTAATTGGGCATGTGGTCAATTCAGAAAAAATGCTGATTTATCTTGCACATGACAAAAAGCAGTCAATGATTGTCGCAATCAAGGACTTTGTTTCTTGACCAAAGCAACTGTTATGTGGATGCAATCTTCAGAACAATGGCTTGATTGGGGTTGTAACTCAATGCCATTTGGTTGATTTGCACTACAGATTCTATATGAAAAGACAGGGGGAAAGTTGGAACACTTTCTTCCAATTTACCTCAATAAGGAGAATCAGGATGACCTAAGATGGCTAATCAAATCCTTTTCAAGTTGTGATGGTATTTGCATGATTGAAGCTTTGAAATTGTCAATTGCAGAAGCCGACACTGTGTTTTTCACCAACGCATGTCCTACGGGTATTGGTATATTGGAACCAATTCCAAAACTCGGTTCTTACTTCAGGCTTCCACTTCCTTCCAGGAATATTTTCTGGGCCAAGCTTTTAGGAATTGTATGTGCCATTGACATTTCCATTGATAAAGGTTGGAAACAGATTTTTATTCACACTGATGCCAATATCTCCTTCCATCTATTCAATTGTCACAACCCAAATATAATTTTTGACCTCTTTTCCGTCATTGTGTTTCTTGT